AACAATGTTTATCAACTGTTGCTCAACAAAGGTTTCCCATGAATACGGGGCTTTAGATTTGATATGAAATTATTAATATGAAATAGGGAACCAGTTGATGTAACTATGAAGCTAGTAAAGAAAACCCGGTCTCGATACGTCAATTTTTTCGGGAGTTATCTTGACCACATACAAAATCAACATCCGGACGTCCACGTAATTTTTTTTCAAAGTAGCAATATAAAATAATTTTTTAGAAAATATGAGATGGATTTATTAAAGTGTTTTTTTTTATATACTGCTACTTATATTATCGTATAAGTGCATTATTGCTTGAAACACAAATAAGCTTGAACTTGACGTGTCGAGAGAAAAGCACTAACTATTAATGCTAAAAAGAAAGGACGCTTTGAGTGATTAACAATAACTAAAAATTTATTTATAGATAGAACACATTACAGAGTAGCACAGATAATAATAAACAGCTTATACTGTTTACGCATAGCATCGATAGAGGGCAGTACATGTATTTTAAACACTTTATTTTGACATATGTTTCAACATATGCTTTGCATTATGAGGCAATATAAGAACGACTAAACTTGTAAACCCCTAAAAATACCTAATATTTTTTGTGCCTCCATTTTTATGTCTTTGCTAAAGAGATTACACATAAAATTATATGCTTTTTTATAGGACAAGGTTGACAAATGAGCACACAGTCCACTTGATAGTAAGTGGTTGCCGCGGCCCATAGACATCTACATCTATTCTTGACTACGAATCAAAATGCAAATGCGTTGTCACCTGTAAGGACTAAGATGGAAAGCCTCATTTCCAGTAGAAACGGTCTCCGGTTCTCTACACTCACTATTTGAAACACAGGAGCGTTAATTTTCTATTTTACGTTAGTATACTGTGAGAACGTGATCCTTCCCCGGTCGAGCCTACCCATTCGTGCTACAACCATAATATAGCTACAGCGTGGCTCTACCACGTAACTTGCTTGTTATACAACATGACTGATACGGAATCATTCTATACAATATTTTTCTATTTTTGGGTATAGTAATAAAAGTTAAGTTAGGACCAGTAAAAATAAATGGAATAGTGGTTATCCATTACATTACGACGTCTTTTAACATAACAACTTTTACACGCTGTTTAGGCCCATACATGGGCATTTGAAACGCCATTCAATCGCGTTTGACTGGGCGCATATCCCGATGGTGTGAGGTGACGCGCGCGCCACCAGGGGAGGGGGGGGGGCAGCGGTATGCCGCTTCCCGGCGTTCGGCCTCGTGAGTGCGAAGTCAGTTGCTCGACAGCAGCGGCGCTGTCGATTAGCGAATTTTTATGACCGCTACATCGGTTTCGCGCGACCCGTTTTTGGTTTTGGGGTCTAGAATTTGAGTATTTGTGTGCGTTTAATTTGCTTTTGAATTTGGGGTTTCGGGTAGACCGCCTCGAATTAGTTTGTCTAAGTTGTACGTTCGTGACAAGAGGCTTGTGTTGAATTTTAAAGAAGATTAAAGTAGTAGTAGAAGATTAAAGTAATTTCGTTTGAAGGTAATTAGGTCAATTGTATAGTGATTGCATGAGGAAGTGCATTTTGCAATATTTACACAATGCAACAAACTACGCGAATTATGCCCCGTATTCATGGGAAACATTTGTTGAGTAACAGAGTGGAATCAACGCGTTGCAGAGTTGCTGTCAACATGTTGCTGGCAACACTGCGTGTTGCAGAGTTGACAACGGCATGTTGACAAGCTCTCGCCCGACGAGCGTAAACATCAGTTTAGCAACCAATGTTGACGTGTGTGAACGCGTTTGCAACAGTTTATAAACATGGCAGTAGTGTGGAGCAATGATAAAATAATGCAATTAATAGAATTATTTCAATCAAAATCATTAGTGACGTGGAACAGTGCGCGCACGCTGAGTAGACATACGGTCTGGAGTTTGATGCTCGCATTCCATTTCGAGGGCGTGGTCCAGTTAATTGTTTTTGGAAGTTAATGTTTAATTGTACGTCGCGTTAATTACCTTTTGTGTGTTGACTATGTAGTTAGTTTGCGTGTCAGCTAGGCTGATTTTGAGTCTTAATACGGGTGTAGTATTTAATATCGTACGAAGGAATTTAGTTTGTTGTTTGTAACGCGGAACTTTATGACCCTAGAGAAGGTCGCGTTCGGTTCTAGAAATAATTTGTTGCCGAGTGAAAACGGAAGTGAACTTTGATCCTCCGTTCATTGGTCGTGCCGTGTGTTACGTTTTTGATTACGATTAACGGGGATTTAGTTGAGTTTGAAGTTAATTAAATGTACAATAAAGTTGATGGATTGAAATAGTGTACAATAAAGTTGATAGACTGAAATAGTGAAATGAAGTCAGAAATTTTCCATGGGTGATCCACGATTTGAGGGAGCGCGCATTGGGAGAACATCAGCTCTGGTGGATTTTCTGTCCGATTAAATCGGGCCGTCAGGTCACATATATAAACACTACTACACACCACTTACAGGCACCTACACCTACCTACCGCCTGACCGAACCTTGGGGCAGTCTTAGCTTCGGAACCAGGTACGTACTATTTATTTACCTAGCCTTATATCTTGTCGTGAAGCGACAATAAAAAAAAATAGAACCTAACCTAAGTACAACAAAACAACAAAAGTAGAGCCAGAAAACAATATATTTAAATTTATAAAAGGTATTTACAATTTTATAAAAAAATGAAATGAGGATGATGATGAATGAAGTGAGAATACAATTAGATTATAAAAAAAAATAAAGGTGAGAGAATAGGGGAATATAGCGTTGAAGTGGGGCCTAAAAGTCGAAGCGACACACGTTGCGTTTGTAGAAGTAGGTTTCTTAGCAGCGACGGCACGCAGCGCCTGAAGCCAGCACACGCCGTTTGCGCTTGTAGAAGTAGGTTTCTTAGCAGCGACGGCGCGCAGCGCCTGAAGCCAGCACACGCCGTTTGCGCTTGTAGAAGTAGGTTTCTTAGCAGCGACGGCGCGCAGCGCCTGAAGCCAGCACACGCCGTTTGCGCTTGTAGAAGTAGGTTTCTTAGCAGCGACGGCGCGCAGCGCCTGAAGCCAGCACACGCCGTTTGCGCTTGTAGAAGTAGGTTTCTTAGCAGCGACGGCGCGCAGCGCCTGAAGCCAGCACACGCCGTTTGCGCTTGTAGAAGTAGGTTTCTTAGCAGTGACGGCGCGCAGCGCCTGGAGTCAGTACACGCAGCGTCCGGAGCCGGCGCACGTAGCGCCTGGAGAAGGGGCGCGCAACGCTTAGAGCTAGCAGTTGCAGCGCCCAAAGGTAGCGCCGGCGGTAGGTGCACTCGGCGCCTGGAGTAAGTAGTAGTAGTGCCCGGAGTAGTGTGGCCCCCGCGCTTGTAGTAGACTCGAAGCGACTTCCGAGGTAGATGGAGGCTTGTAGGATTCCGGAGTGGCGCGGCCCGAGTTTGAAGAAGGCTTCGCCGAAGACTTCACGTGTAAATGGAGGCTTGCAGGATCCCGGGGCAGTGCGGCCCCGGGATAAGGCCTTTAGGAGATACTTCCAATTCGCGAACTGAAGCGAGACTGCCTTTCTTCACCGATTGTTCGGCTTTTATACCGGAAAAATTATTTAAATTATATGCAAATTTTTTGTAAATGGTCAAGAGAAAAGAGGATTTATGTGGAATTATAGAAATAGGAACAACAGATCGGTAGCAAATTTGAATATAATTACCATAGAAACGATATAAATAAGAAAGACAAAACATGTCAAATTTTTGTTTTTGGTTTATAATAAGAAAACGGTAAGATTTAAGTGGAAAATGAGATATTATTGATATAGGAAAAAAGGTAGCGGAGCTGCCCACACAAAGCCCAAGATTGTAGAGTTACGGAAAACTAGCTAAAAGATCGAAAAAAGGTAGACTCCATTGACACCAATTTAAAAGTGCTGATAATGTGAAAATACGAAGTAGAAATGATTTGTTATTGTGTTCTTATGGTTTAAAATCGTTACAGGATCCTATGGAAATAAAGGTGATGTAAAATATCCAGTTTTGAGGTGAATGCAGAAAATCGAAACAGAATGGAAAAATGAATTTAAAATAATGTAAAATGATACGTAAGTAGTATAACACTACAATCTATTGTGTAGGTTAATTGTCCACAGGCATTTTGGGCCCTACCTTTGTTGGGGCAACTCAGGGCGTGTACACTATCATTTTAAACGCCTTCTGTATTGTTATGACTATAGTGCTAAATATAATAAGCCTGGTGGGGTCTTCGTAATAAGTGACTGAGTTTTTCGCTATCATTTTAAACGCCTTCTGTATTGTTATGACTATAGTGCTAAATATAATAAGCCTGGTGGGGTCTTCGTAATAAGTGACTGAGTTTTTCGTGCTCTTGCTTGTACCATATGTGTTTCATATAATTAAATCATTGTATTAAAACTTTTCTATACTTATATATAATTTTTAACGGGATGTTACAAATGAGGTAGTTAGTAAGAGGAGATTACCAACTACCTAATATTTTACATAGTTTCATTATGTGATAAGATACATATTGATTGAATAGACTAGACTGCGTTTTTTTCTCTTTTTTTGTTGTATTATCTATTTGGGCAAATGTTTTTATATATATTTAAGTGATAAATAAATAAGACAATATATTAAATGATTTGGACTCATATTTGGTTTCTGAATCTACTTCTTGCAATTTTGAGGATTGTTTCCATTTGGATCCAAAACTTTAAACTTCCCTTAAAATTATAAGTCAAAACATCAGGAGCATCTCACACAATTTCTCTGAGTATATTTCATTAATTTTGAGAATGAAAGTGCCCTGGGATGTTATTACCTCAACTGAGTGTTGGTTGCGAAGTGTTCGCACACTTCATGTAATTAACGGTTATAAGACATTTAGTACAGAAAACAACTACACACTAAATGATGGTGTTGCCTCATATATAAACAATGATATTAATGTATCATTTGATGAAATTTGCTTCCGTTACGCGAATGGTCTTCTTTTAAATTTAAATAAAGATATTGTTATTTTAGATCTGTATCGTTCTCCTGCTGTTAGAGATTGCACTGAATTCATAGATTCATTAGATTCTTTGCTTGTGAAAATAACTGATGTTACAATATTAACATCAGTTATAAAACTAATAAAATAATTTGGTCCACATATGCTATATCCGGTGTTGAATCGATGATAAGAAAAATATTTCGCTCTTCTTATCTCGTCTTCAATCTGTTTTAAAACTTTATTTACACCTAAGCTCATCGCAAACCATTTTTGATAAGTAGTAGTAACTTGTTGCAGATTCTTGATTCCCAAATCGTTCAATATGACTGGCTAAAACAGAACCGAATTCAGCTAACAGTTCTAAAATTATTAAGAATACTAAATTTATTACGCGCGGAGTTTTCATGCTGTGCTACTCAAAATTCTGTATTTTTCTTATCTTCACGCACAATCTCTGACGGGGTAGCCAGAGAGAACAGATCGCCAAGTGTCACGATCCTTACATACCTCTTTCGCTTCTTTCAGATTCTTCATACATGCACGTCTAGGTATCCGAGTACTCTTGACCCTACCCTCTTCGAGCAATTTGCTCACATGGTCTTCGAAAGTTAGTCTCGGTCTACCTCGACACCTTTTAATATTAACTTTCGCGCTATATATTTTCTTCACCATTCGGTCTTCACTCATTCGCTCAACGTGCCCAAACCACCGAAGCACGTCCTTATCAATTTTTGTGATAAGGTCATCTTTCAAACCTGCCATATTGCGAATCTCTTCGTTTCGCTTTCGGTCGGCCATGGTAACGCCGCACATTTTACGAAGAGATCGCATCTCCACTGCATTCAACTTGCTTTTATGCTTCTTCTGGCATACCCAGGTTTCGCTGCCATATAACAAATTCGGTATCAACACTGCGTTATGTATTGCAAGGCGTGCACTCTTCACTACGCCTTGCCTTTTGACTAACGCAGTCAGGGCACCATTGACTTTGTTCCCGGCAGCGACATGCCTGTCCACATCTAAATCACATCTTCCATCCCGGCTAAAAGCACTCCCCAAGTATACAATTTAATTTACTTGTTCTAGACATTCCTGATTTACCCATATTTCACACTTCGTTCTCTCTTCGTCCCTTTCAAATACCAAGTCATTTCAAGTCATTAAATTCTTCGTTCTCAAGTTGAGTCTTATTCTCCAATGGACCGAATACAAAACAGATCCCATAATACACAGACCATTTACTACAGCATAAACCAGCCAATTTCGGTCATATACATAAATATTTTTCATGTTTCTCTGGAAGATACTTGCAAGAAACGACGCTGATCAGCATATATTTTTCCACTTTTACTTGCATTGATCGCAACTGTACCTAGCGATAATCCCCCTTACGCTATATGTAAAAAATCAGATGTGGTTGCGCTGCAGGAGATTTGTCTGCTCCCCCACGATATACCGGTACTGGGAACTATTTCAAATGATTTTGAATATACAGGGAAGTCGGCGGTGGACACGTCTACCGGCCCTCTGATCGGAAGACCGTATGGGGGGGTAGCGATACTTTGAAGAAAGGGAATTTTTGACGGCGTGTCTATAATAAACTGCACGAATGATCGCATTGTAGCTATTAAAGCCAGTATTGGGCGGCGAGCGATTCTGGTTTTTTCCGTATACATGCCAACTAACTCACTAACCAATCTACCCATATTTACCGATGTGCTGAGCGAAATAAACGCTATAATTGATAATGAAAATGTTGAGAGTGTATTTATACTGGGAGATTTTAACGCGCATCCCCACGAACTGTTCTATAATGAACTCATAACCTTCTGCTCGGAGCAGAGCTGGGTCTGCGCCGATGTTGAAAAACTAGGTGAGCAAAGTAACACTTATACATACGTAAGCGCTGCGTACGGATGCCGTAGGTGGTTAGACCATTGTTGTGTGACAGACCTTGCGTGGCAGACTGTAGTGGAAGTGGAAGTAATGGAAGACGTCTTTGTGTCGGATCACTTACCACTAATTGTAAAGTGCGATTTAAGCTGTGTAAGACCCAAGTTGGCATTACCTAGCCTACAACGAAGCACGGTAATATGGGGAGAGCGAGGCGAGGCACAGATAACTAAGTACCATGACCTATGTAATAATAGTATGCGCGAAATTGATTTTCCTTCTGAGTTTACGGAGTGCAGCCGCGGAATGTGTAGCTTGAGTGAGCACGAAAAAGTACTAGATCGCTTGTATCAGAATATTGTACATGCCCTAAGCGACGCGGCAAGTAAGTCGAGTAAGACTCGTGGAGGAAGGAAGAGCAATAACAGGCATTTATGTGGGTGGAACAAGCATGTTTATGATGCTCACAAGCAGGCCAGGCTTAACTATCAAGTTTGGTTGCTGAATAATCGGCCTAAGTCTGGTAGAATCTATGAGCAGATGTACGAATCGCGTAAAATATTCAAAAGTCGACTAAAATGGTGCCAACAAAATCAAGACCAACTTAAAATGGACGTTTTGGCCAAACATAGATCTGCTAAAAATTTTGATCGTTTCTGGAAGGCAACAAAAAAGCTTGATGTTAAGTCTGGTTTGCCAACAAGTGTGGAGGGGGAGAATGAGCCTGCTCATATTGCAGAAATGTTTAGGGCTCATTTTAAAGTCAACTCACCACTGGGCCCCTCGGTTCCTACTTTTAGCAAGCCTTTGTGTCACGGAGAAAATAAACTAGTGCATGTTACAGCTGAACAAGTGCGAAATGTACTTAAAAAATGACTGGTGGCAAGTCTCCTGGACATGATGGCATTAGCGTTGAGCATCTTAGGCATGCTGGTGTTCACCTTCCGAGGGTTTTGGCGCTGTTTTTCACAATGTGTATCAGACATTCCTATTTACCGCAAGAAATGTTAAAAACAATTGTGGTGCCCATTGTGAAGAATAGAACTGGTGACGTCTCGGACATGAAAAATTATCGTCCAATTTCATTGGCAACGACGATTGCTAAGGTGCTGGACGGTGTGCTTAATTCTTACCTTGAAAAAATAGCTAAGCTACATGACGCACAGTTTGGGTTTCGGTCTGGGCTATCTACTGAGAGTGCAATTGTAAGTTTAAAGCACACTGTCCAGTACTATACTAATCGCGGGACACAGGTGTATGGCTGTTTCCTAGACCTGTCAACGGCATTTGACTTAGTGTCTTATAACATATTGTGGGCAAAGCTGGAGGACAGAGGACTACCGGTTGAATTGCTAAATATATTTAAGTTCTGGTATGCCAACCAGACAAATTGTGTAAAATGGGCCGACTCTCTCTCGGAAGAATATGTGTTGGAGAGTGGGGTAAGACAGGGAGGCTTGACGTCTCCCACACTCTTCAACATATATATTAATGATCTCATTGTCAGGTTGAGCAGTATGCGTGTCGGATGCCGTATTGATGGAGTAAGCACCAACAATATAAATTACGCTGATGACAGTGTACTGCTCTGTCCAACTGAGGGGGGTCTTAACGAGATGCTAAGGGTTTGTGAGAAATATTCTGCTGAGCACGGGCTCATATACAATGTAAAAAAGACAGAATGCATGGTGTTTAAGGCCGCTGGTAAATGTCCCGATAAAGTAAATAACATTACCCTGAACGGCGTGAACATACAACGTGTATCAAAATTTAAATATCTGGGACATATAATTACTGACGACCTTAAAGACGACGCTGACATAGAAAGGGAACGTAGGGCTCTGTCAGTAAGAGGCAATATGTTGGCTCGCAGATTCTATCGTTGTAGCGAAGACGTAAAAGTGACCCTTTTTAAAGCGTATTGCCAAAACATGTACACGGGAAATCTGTGGACCAGCTATACCAAGAAGTCGCTGGACACCCTACGAGTCCAATATAATAATGTGTTCAGGATGTTGTTGGGATTGCCTCGTTTCTGTAGTGCATCAGCGATGTTTGCAGAATACCAAGTCGACGACTTTGCAGCCATTATTCGCAAAAAAACCACATCGCTGATATTTAGAGCGCGAGGCAGTCCCAATAGCATTCTGCAAACCCTGGCAGATAGGTATACTTCTCCGCTTTGGGCCTGCTTTGTGAGGAGGGTTATTTTAAAACACAGTTATTTAAATTAAATTCAAATTGACCTCATCTGATTTTATTTTGATATTTTATTTTATTTTGATTGTATTTAATCTAATTTAATTAAGACATTATTGGATTTCGATTGATTTTTATTTGATTTTTTGTTTGATTGTATTTAATGTAATTTAATTTTGACATTACTATTATTTGATTATTATTTTATTTTTATTTTTGATTTTATTGTAATTTAATTTTGGGTATAGATTTGATTTTAGTTTTGATTTAATTTAATTAAATTTATTTAATGTTCTCAATTACTAACCTAATATAAGTCATACTAACAACTTATGGATCTTTGATATCTGAAATAAAGAATTATTATTATTATTATTATTATGCTATCGTTGATGTTCCATAAAGCTGGATGTTTGTTTAGATTTACTGCTGTTTGCACTCGGTTATTACTTAATATCTGATTCTGAGATAATTCCTCTAGCGCCTCTTCGTGAAAAACATAAATATCCGTTTTTTTTTTAAAGTAGATTGTTCAACAGATGACTGTTGTTGTTAAGCCACAGAGTTCAAATCAGTTTCATGTTTTCCTGGTTGTATTGTTGCAGTGCATGTTATTGAAGTTCCTGGTCTTTCAACACTACTTCCACTTTTAAAAAAGCTGTCGATTTTATGGCTTTGCGGGTGATCTATCCTTGTTCTTCTTTTTTCATTTTGGCTTTTTTTTACACACAGCTCCACTGGTGCTTTGTCCTTTCATTATTTTTTTAATCAAAGAACTATAATAAAGGAGATTATTCTTTCTCTATTACGCAAAATGTAGAAACATTTATCAAAATGATGAAACATATTACATGTTACATTGTTTGTGGACCTAAAACTATATAATAATATTTAGGTAGTATATAAATATTAATCTTTTTATTTTCTGTAAAATACAAAATAATTGATCCCAGATTTGCCGCCCCTAAAATCTGCCGCCCAAGGCTCCAGCCTACTCAGCCTGCTGGTAAATCCGCCACTGAGATGGAGTGACGACCTAGTAAG